TATACTCGATATTTACAAAGAACGCTCGCGTGAGACAGTAGAACGATCTAAATCATTAAAAACAAAATGATCGCTTCGTACGGACCATCTATGTCTGTACGAATTCCGCTATTTATTACGTTACTCTTTTGCCAATGAAAATGGCGCATTACGTGTAAAGATCAATGGTGGCTTTGGTACGTTTAGCGTCGATTTGGGATCACCTCTATCAGAGACGCGTCTTCGAAATGGCTGCACTTCGTAGCAGTGTCCATATTACGAAGATGTTGTCTGCGCCGATATCTACGAATATGTAAATTTAACATGGACACATTTGAGGCTCGTTTTATTCGACAGCTGCTTATTGCCATGCAAGCGAACGAGTCCATGGTAGGAATGAGTATGTCAATGGAAAATGTAGTGTATATAAGGTAGGGCCCGTTCACAGCCGTAAAACACAAAAGGGTTATAACGTACGAGGATATATATATATATATGTATATGTAACTGCACAATTCTGTTCGCAGTCTCATCGATCTGATGTTTTTCAATCATTTCTTGATATTTGTATAGGCACAGTCTGAAAATTGTTACGTCGGCGAAACGGATACTTACGTTTCAGCAGGCAAGGTAAACGCTTGAATCGTGCCAAGCAACATGTCAACAATATATATATATATCGAACATGCGTCATCGTTGTATCGTAACTTGCAAAGTAATTGCAATTTAAAACGGTAAAAAGGAACAACGAACGGCCTTTTTGTTTGCCTCTGTAACCTGGTGTAATACCTTGTGGGTAACAAATGTTGATTCTTTTTTTTTTTACAATTAAGACGCCAAATTATGGTGTCACGTAAACTTTCGAGGGTTAGTAAGACAGAATATTTTAAAAATTTACGCAGCGGACGGATTTACAGCTACGGACAGAATATGGACCGTAAGCTAATATCGATAAACGAGAGGAAATATACTGAGAAGGCTTTGTAAAGGTTGATCTACGCTGACTAAACGGTGACATTGATAATCGTTATAATTATTGGTGGTTAGGGTAAGACGTAAACGGATACAAGGCTCTATTGAAATAAGTTAGAGGCATCAAAATACCAAGGAAGCGAACATGGTGCTGACCAATATAGGATGAAAAAGGAAGCTTTCCAAACTAAGCAAAAGATAGGCTCTTTTAATACAAAATCGATACAAAAGAAACAACACTATATATTGTGGCAAGGCCATACCATGTTGAAATACATTAATTTAAAATATATATATATATATATACATATGTAAACGGATCGGGATATACAAGACAGGCATCTATGAGTGAATGTATGATACATTTCGTAGCATCAGAAGTATACGGATTACTGGAAGAACTAGGGATGTGTATTAAATACAATAACGTCTGGCCTGTACGGTCAACTGGAAACGTTTATTAGAAAAGACGTCAAAAAGAAGATGCAAATCCCAACAGTCTATGCTGTCACATTTATTTTTAAAGCAATCAGCCATATGTACATAATGATTTACTTCGTGAATTAGTAATTTGTATTCATTACAATAGAGCGAGTCTATAACGCATGAAACACGGTCGAACACAGTTTCGGGCATCCGAGAAACGTTCAGCCACGTTAACGACACCTCGGAGCAATGAGGAAATAGAAATTGGTTGTTATCAATTGGCACACAAACTGGCACATTTCAAATACTGCCCGGAAAACCAGTCAGGATATGCGTTAACAAGCCTATGTTGTAGGAGTAAGCTGAATTGAATGACAATCGGAAAAGCTACAAAGCCTTGTTAAGGCGGTCATGATTTGTGTATCAGTTTCTGACCGGATACGAAGCGGTGAAGCGCTTTGGCACTTGAGCCTCATTAGGTAGCATTAGAGTTGACCTATTAGCTAAGGAAAGGAGACTTAGGGTTTTTTTTTTTTTCGTTCAGCTAACAATTTTACCTGTTCAGAGTTTCAGATCACAGAGTTAGCTTTCAACCACGAAATAGATCAATCCATCCATTGTACCTATACCTTTGTCTTTCTCATCGTGGGGCCCTTTTCACATTGCTGTGTTAAGCTTCCACTTTTTATACGCCATTAAACAGTCAACAGAAAAACTACTTAATATAATGGTAATTATCAGTGTCATTTGTAGTATCATAATTGTCCGCAACGTATTTACAGATATCGTACCAATAAGATCACGACGCTGCTAGCGTTAGTATTTCCTAGATAGCTTATCGAGGTGGGTATAGATTCTTGTGGTGAAATTTCAAATGCACATGTAACAGGTATTACCGCATACGCTGGGTGACTGACGCGCAATGAGATTCTACGTAAGTAAGAGTATTTTCCAACTTTACCCTCGTGCTTTCAGACTGACGAAAATGATGGAAGTCGAGGCACTTTTCGGCGACCTTTTGCCAGCTGTCTTTCAATGCGTGCATCAAATCATTTACTGAAGGTAGATGTGTAGTAACACAAGCTGGTCACCAAAGGGAAGCTTTAGGTAATTTCTACGTACAGACCGTGTACGTAGATTGTGCAGACGTTAGGTAATCACGTTTTTCGTTCGTCATATTCGATGACAGTAGTTATTTATTCCTTTTCGAAAAATCGTCCGGGGAATAAAAATATGCCTATATACTACTCTGTATATACAATGGAACCTATGTATGAGGTAAAATAAGTTTCGCCTGATTGAAATCGAATGTAGAACAATGAATAGAGATAAAAATGACCGAATTTTATCTCTAACCGTAACAGATTGTTATAAAAGCAATTATGAGACCCATTCATAAATATGAGCGCTGTTAGATACATTCTCCAATGACGCTGACGATGATCGTGTTATTTCTAGCTTCTTTATTAACAGAAGTCGGCTAGCAGCGACGTTAGTGATAAATTAGTAATAATATCTAACACTGCGAACGCGTCCCTACGACTCGAAAGATCACGGTCCAGTTGCTTTCAGGTCGGCAGCTTTTTTTCGGCGTAACTAAAAACGAATGCCAAGCTATATACCATGTATGAATAGAGTAATCTGACCAACGTCTGCTTTAATACCGACTAGAATGATATTTCGCCTTGAATATATCAAAATCCCTTAAGTAAGTCGTAATCGTGTATTTACTAGGGGATAATATCTTGTGTTTAGGATAAGCGAAGCGAACCCCCCATTGGTTGTTTATGCAGAAAAGAGAAATATCATTCCTATTGAAATCACAAAACCAAGTAGTTCAGCTGGATGATGCCACGGAAAACAAATTGCACCAGCTCGTAGAAAAAACACGAAAGTCATCCTATAATCTCTTGAATAATTTACTCCGATCTAATTATAGCTTAACTATAATATGGGAATGTTACAAAATTCACGCTCTGCTAGCGTACCATTGCTAGCCGGACTCCAACAATCGGGTCACCTGAAATTTACATTGGACAAGCTGATGATGTAACTGACAGACGCTCAAAGCAGATTCAAGGCACTAATGGGAACATGAGGCACTTACACAAAATTTCAACAGCTACTAGTTTCAACATGCTATTTAACATGCTATGGTAGTGACATCGTCTATTATGTGCACCACAGGAGTTCATTCATACTGCAGACCAGGATGTCCTAACAATTTATTGTCCAAAAAAATGTCTCGACTCACCTGAAAATTAGGCCTCACAAAGCTTTTAAGCCACGAAAACCCGCAGAGAGTAGCACATTTTGACAGTCAGTCAGCTAGGACAATAATAGGTTGCCCACTTTTATGGCGTGTTGAAATCACATTTAATACAAAGTTTGAACTATTGACGCCTCGATATATGCTAGAACATGTAGTAAAAATTCACTTACTCATAACTGACGGACTCGATAACGGCGGCGCTTGTAACCTGTCTAGTAATTCGTTTTTGGTCCGATTTTAGCATTTCAGCCATTGGTAACACAGAGCTACATTAGCAACTACAACCGATTAACTGAGCAGACAACCTTAAGCTATACTGAAGTGAATTTTTAATTTCAAACGTCGTTCTCCATTTAGCGGCATCTACAATATGTATAATTCAGCTTTTAGTTTGGCCTCATTTTCGAGGCCATTGGTGTAGGGTCTTCGTTTCGGTGTCTATAAAAACAGTTACTATATTATTTATTAAGAACAGATTTATATACTCTAGGGGCCTATAGTCAAGAGTTAACCTCTTCAGATGTTACTGAATTTTATCAACAACTAATCCTGTTGTGGTGAAGTCCTTCCTTAACCGTCTTTGCGTTCGAATACTGTCGATTATATAAGTCTGCTGCAGGCGTCTCATTACATTCTCATGATGATACCACTGTTGTGTTTTCTGATCTCGCTGCAATCAGACTACACTATCGGAAAGGTATAATCACCAATATATTTTATTTAATTTTTTACAATAGGGATTTAGTGCATGATATGTATTAAATAACAGAAGCTACACAGTTTTAAGAGGTCTAGTATCACAAGCAATAATTGGCACTGAAAATACCAAATCGTGATAGCCAATGCCGAACTTCTCGTAGTCCCAACAATTGTTTTTGCCAATCCCTCACTTATGATACCGCAAATCGATCTTCAACTACCTAACGTTGCCGCTATCAGTATTAACTATTCCGCAAAAGCCTTCCTCTGAAGACATAGTACTTTTGTTCCCTATACGATGCTATCATAGGGCGTACCGATTCGTGAACTCGCTCATAATCACACAATAATAACAACTGTAGTAACAATCAACAACGTGGGATTGCAAACAAACATAGGACGACGCAACCCTGAATACGCAATATATGGGTTGTTGATGCTGTTCTTGTTACTAAATACTACTACCACTACCAAGGATACTGTTATTATTATAATCCGTATTTCTGTATCTTCACTCATCAATATAGTACTAACAATGATAATGATAACGAATATCTTTTGTTTGATCTGTCTTCGAACTTGATTCTTGTGACCGTGAGTCCCGTGATCACGTGTAAGTGAATGCGCTCTGGAGCACACGAAGTTTAGGTGCTTCTTGCCGTTCCGGCTGCCACGGGCCGGTCAATGTGTTCTCAGCAATACATAACAGAGAAAAGGCGGGATTCATTCGAGTCTGGGCCACTAAATCGGGTTGCCGCCGCCGCCGCCGCCGCCGCCGCCGCCGCCGCTGCTGCCGCCGCTGTTGCCGCCATATATCGGTCTCTCAGAACCGATGTGCCATGCGACCCGTTTAAGTGTAGAATTTCCCGGTCTTGAAACAAAGCAATACTAATCACCGCCAATAAACATCCCATGCACGACAACGGTCATTACAGAACTATTTTCTAATCACTGGCTATGGAACCACTAAAGATGCAACTAACAGGATCAATATGAATGCAAAAACGTTAATACGAGCAAGAACAACGCAAGAATATACGTTGATTTCAGATATAGATAGATAGATGAAAAAAAAATTTAACTTTCGAACATACGTCAAATTGCGAAAAGTAAGTAACAAATTAAGGGTAAAAATTTGTAAAGATACTTCGCTAAAGAATCAAATAATAATGTAGGAAGCGAGTCTGACGTACCTTAATTCGATGCTTACACACAGCTTTTAAACCAGTTTTAAATACATTCATATATCAAGCAACTTCATGCATGTTTTCCTTTGAAGCTTTGCGAAGTTTTCGATATTGGCTTCCGGGTAGCTGCGCTTGTCTCAATCCAAATATAAGTATATGAAAAGAATCGACACCTGTTTATCTATATATATATATATATATATATATATATATATATATATATATATATATACATGCAGATATATAAATGTAAGCGCCATATGTGACTTTCATTGTCCGAGACAAATGATACAGAGTGACCATAAGCCAACGAAACACATGCCTAGATTAGGTGAGCGTACGTATGTACCAGTAAATGAATATATTGACCGAATAATAGAATGGTTTGCATCAAAGAGCGACACGGATTGTACATCTCTTTCCATAAATATAACCCATTTTAATAACGATGTCTAATGTTGTACAATGTTATACTGTGCGTGTGCCATGTTACTATCTGGATCGGGGACCTTGGCTTTCGACCCAACAAAATCGATCTCGTTTTCCGCTCTCCATCGAAACTACCGCCATGATGGTTGATTTTTTCAATTAATAACTAGTAATAATCAAGAGTACAATTAATAGCGGTTTACCAGCTAATTTTGACCTTTTTTTTTTTTGCTATCTAAGTAGAATTGTATGCAGCTCTGTTGTACAATCTGCGATTTTAAGCCCTCGATTCCAAGGTAACATGTTTCTATGACAAGTACATAACCACCCGTGTGGCTGTTTCAGCATTATTTGTTTTATGACGTTTTCTTTTATAAACGAACGGCAATTGCTGGCCACTCGATAAGGAACTGCGACGACACAATCACTTTCAAATCGCAAATAATGCCCCTGTTGACTAGCCACTGAATGATCAACAGACGGCGAAAAACTATCCGAGAGTACGTTTAGATAGTAGCGAGATTATATATATATATATATATATATATATATATACACAACTAAAGAATTAAGAGCTTATATGTAGACGGATACATATATACACATGTAAAAGTCAAATATATAGGGTACAATATAAAAATCGATTAATTCATTGAAAGCGCTGAAGGAGGCATGCTCTTCTTTGCAAGGATGCGAACAAAATTAAAACGTATGAGAAATTCGAAAAAATATATCGCGAGCGGAATTCCGTTATCATTATTACTGTTCTGGTGCGGTGTGAATCTGGGCAAAGCTGGGGGAGGAAAGAGAGAGGGAGGGAGGGAGGGAGGGGGCGCGCAAAGGTAAACGATGTGACTCATCAGTCATCGACACCAAAAACGACCAAAGTCTACTATGTGTTTTAGATCGGCTACATAATGAACGCATATATTTACGGCAATATGCCGTAGGAAACTTCGGTGCAAACCCGTTTTCTCTCTTCCTTTTGTTTCAATTGTATAGTCCTATTTTCATCTGCGATGTACATTTTTATAGACATAATGTTAGCTGATGACAATACACCGCGCATTAACTGAATGATGAACAATCATGAAGACAACGGCGAAGACAAGTATGGTGATAGTAATGAGCTGATAATGGCAAACTCACAATATATAGATAAAAATACATCTATATATCAATAATACCAATACATTAATAAACGTTGAATTGTACGGGGAAGAGATTGATTGTATAAAATGTTGACTGTGTTTTTACTTAACAAGCTGTTGCTTTAAGACTGGTTAGTGACAACTGTAAATGGATTATTTTTGCTACTGTTATTAAGTAGTAGTAAGTATAATTTAGCCGCACGGTGTTAGTCGTTCCATCAGCGTGCTACCGTATTCTAACTATATCTCATGTACTTGACTACGTTAGCCTATTGACAAATATATTTTGTCTTAAATTTAGGAAAATTTCGGGTCAAAAATTGCATGGGTCCAGCAAACATTTGGCGGTTCTGTTTAAAACATTACAGAATAAATATTATAAGTAGTTGTTGGTGTTCAAGATATGGTAGATTTCCAGATCGTTCTTGATAGGGTCGAGTCATAGGGTGTGATTTCCTAAAGACATGCTGTTTTCCCTCTGTAACGCGATAACAAAAACCCAGGTGGAGCTTGTGTCTGTGCTCCGGCACGAATACAGCGCCATTATAATTATTCCAGTAGCTACACCTTAGGCCATGACAATTAACCACTGTATACTAATAAACATTCTATTCTGCTATAGAAAAAATGCTATTGCTGATAAAAAAATTTTCATCACATGCTTATGTAAAAATATTAACCCACAAACTTATGTCTATAAGAGAAATAGGCGGTAACTTTATTCAGAGCATCCTTCGATAACCCTCAGTATTTAATCGACGTACTGATATATATATATATATATATATATATATATACATATACATAGATAGAGAGAGCGAATGATTGGCAATTAATATGCTTTCGTACTTTGTATACACACCATTGACATGGAAGGCAAGACCGACTTAGAACAGCGTCTAAAATGCAGTAACTGTTCTATCTATTTTCTCGCTTGCGTCTATGGAAACATGCTGTCTTTAGTCGGATTAGAACGGTATGATCAGACCCTGGTAGTAATGATAGTTAGTTTTATCAAATTTAAACAGGCCAAGTACTTAGTTCCTAAGTATAGAATACAGTGAAAAAGATAATGACTTAGCTTAGTCTTTCAATATCTTTTAGGACAAAAGGCATACGTGCTCTATTGAGCATTTATTAAGCCGACATGATATTCAGTTCTTAAGGGGTCATGTCGATATGTTTAAAGAAACGTAGACCTCAGGAGCTACAATATACAGAATAACTAAAAATTGGTAACTTCTCTCTTTAGGGAATCGATTTCACACTAGATATGATGAGGGCGCCCGTAGGTTGGAGCGTGCGCATAAGCGGCAATCGGAGCGGCTGCTGCTACCGCAACTTTTTTAAGCGGTGAAGGGGCATTGAAGAGTGCTGCAGCCGGTGCCGAGGGCGCTGTCCCAGGCTCGTTCGTATTGACGGTGGCGCGAAAACCTGCCGCATCGGCGACGTAATCAACACGACGCGAGATGCCATGAGCGTCGGTGAAGGAATATGAACCCTTTTTGTTGTTGTGCCCATCAGACTCTTCATGCCGGGCACTTTTTGTTCCGTACTCGTCTACCGTTTCGTAGCCAAATGAGTACGGCTGTGGAGGATAGATAGGCTCGGCGATTTTGGCTACGATAGGTGAGGCTGCAGCGTACGCTAGTGGTGCGACCCCGGGTCCATAAGCGGGATGTGGCAGAGCCCAAGCGGCAAGAGCCACTGAAGCTAGTACGGCAAGCTGACACAGAGGCAGAAAAAAAAATGGAATAATAACAATCCATCATGACAAAAGTAGAAAACCATATTATCGTTTTTATTCATTCAATAGCTACAATGCAAAATGAAGAAAATTATCTATTCGATTGATTTAAATGAGAATAGAAAAAAGAAAAGTTTATGCCATAAACAATTATTTTGATCGGCTCCCTGCTAAGATTCGGCCGCTTACGTTTCAAAGAAGCTGCGGAATATCTTAAATGTGAGCCAATGGAATTATAAAAGCCACTAATTAATTTAAGCTAAACTCAACGCATAGTATACATAGTCTAAGTGGGCGCATAGTACAATTAGGCCATAGCGCCCCACAGAAGCGCTTATTGCTGGGTTGTAGGAGCGTGTGTGTGTACTATATCGAGAAGGGACCAGAACAGCTAAACATAGCTATACTAACATTGCACCATATAATAGGCCACGATTTTACTAAACAAGTCATCGATAAACTGCTTGAAGAGAACACAGGAACAGCCAAGTTTAACAACGTTCGATATTAACTGTTAGAGCAAACTATAGTCGGCTGCGCTCAGCGAGTACAGATTCTCATATACAGAGATGTTAATCGATACTCCACGGGTCGGAGACAACGGGTCTCGTTGCCTCAGCTGGTTTCACTGATAACCTCATTTCACATTGCTACTTTAGATTTCTGGCTACTCACGTCCTGCCAGGTTCGAAAGTTGTACACTGTTCGTACATGGCACCCACACATACACACGTTTGGCCCTACAACATCCTTGAAAAGGATGCTAGGAGACTCCGGATGCGGTCTCCACCGTGGCACAGGCATCATGCCCATTGGGACGCTAGCTATCGGACTTTAAAAAAAAAAGGTTAGAAAAGGTCACCTCTTTTGTATACCCTATTTTGGCTACCTTGTACATATCGTCTCGCTCGTTTGGTTTTCTCTCGTTTGTTCTCCGTGGATAGTCTCTGAAGAGACTTTCTGTCGCGACCGATCAGGCGTACTTTCCTCTGCTACTATTTAAGCTCTTGTGATGTCCAAGACGCGCTGTTTCATGTATATATGCCTGTGGGGGCTATATGCGTTGGACTATCTGTTTATCTGTCTGTGAATGGTGCAGCGAGTGTACTGCAAAGCAGTACTGGCGCCAGCAACAGCGGCAGCGCTTTTGCTAACAACTAAGCCGCTTTCCCCACGACCCTGGCGAGTCGCATCGGCTACTACCAAGCTAGCCCGCCCACCCCTACACAGACAAGCACAATAAGCAAACAGTAATCATAATAAACAAGAACATTGTCGTTATAATCATCATCGTTCTTTGTACTTTGAGAATGATGAACCGTTATCATTCGAACCCAAGAGAAGCACACTTCTTATCTCAAAGGTCTGCTATTTCTTCATGTTGTTATTTGAAAAAACTGAACACGGGTACTCACGGATTTCATATCAGGCTGGCTCAGCCCATCCTCTTCGCCAATAGAGTTGTGCTGTTTTTGCTGGTATTGGTAAAGATCCCCACGGAAGTCAAGAAATCCGATAGATGTTAGGTCTGTGCTAGTATTTAAGTTTGCAATAATATACACAGAGGCCCGGAGCCGATTAGTTATTGGTTCGAAGTTGAATACTGCCAAGTACTTGAGATGTTGATAGTGATACGGCCGGTAGACGTAATCAAGATGAGAAGTAGACAGTTAAGGGAACAAAATAGAGATGTCTTCATTTCCATAAATGCACGGAAAGTGTTCTTAAAAATCTATAGTTTTGAACAATCTAGTGAACGTCGAACATTACGATTTTTTTCGCCTAAACCTATGTGCCCCGTTAACTTATCTAATAGGGATCAGCTGATTAATAAATTAGTCATAATGGCCAATCTAACCGTTTGCTTAAGTTAAGGATTCGCATGTGGCCGCTCGGCAATTCTCCGTTGCGTTTTCGGTACATTGCTAGTTACGTTGCTATAGGAACTTCAATAAAAAAGGAGACGTTTGTAAGATGTCAAAAACCTTCTCTGCAAAGCTAATTTTACCTTCAGTTATAGCAAAATTGAGCTGATATTTGCCCATAATATCGAATAAGGGGTAACTTGTAGGTAATCTTAGAAAAAAAAGGTCCTTCATTTTTACAGGTAGCATCAACCATCAAACTGATTGTAGCTTACTGTATATACCTTTAATATATATCGAAAATAGGAAAATCGACATTAAGAAAAAAAATAGCAGCGAACTTAATTTTAAAACTCTGAGTGATGCCTCCTCCTCCTCCTCCTCCCCCTTCCCCTTGGTAACTTTCCATATTCTGTTCCGGCAGTAGTTACAACCGGGCATTGAGAACAAAGCGTCTTGAAGACAATTTACAACAATCGATTCTATTTACTGGTCATCTTATGCCGCTAAAAAAAAAGACACTGGTATATACAGGCGTTAAGACCTAAATGAGCACTTTCTGCGAAATTTGAAAGAAAATGTTGATGTCACAGTATTTTTGCCACGATTATTGAGACAGAAAAAAAACTTTAGTTCGAAGGTTACTTGAGATACGGTAAAGTTCAAGCGCGGATTCAATTGGAGAGCCAAATACAGCGGCCAAAAAAAGTAACTTCTAACTGAAAAAAATCATGTAAACTAAATTTAGCACGGTTCTTAGTGTACGGAACGGAATTGCTTGTGTGAACAACGGCCAACACTGGACATTGCGTAGAAACTTTTGCTCACGTCCAAGGTCTAACGATTTGACGTGTGAGTTTTTTTTTTGGATTTGACGATAACGTGTGAATCAGGGTGTCTTCGACACACCCCAATTTTCTGTTTTCTCTAACGACACCGGCCTTGCCGTTTCAATTCATCCCGCATAGTCTCCTATAATAAAAATGCCCGCAATAAAGAAAATCTCCGTCGTTTTAGGGGTTAGGTGCTTTAGCACTTTGCGTTGTAATATGTAGATGCTGGGACATTTCCTGAGACGATACGACAAATTTACCATAGCATCCATGAGTCCCTGATGAGGGCCCAGTACAGACATGATTGCGTTCTGCTAAAAACGTAATACCTTTGGGTAGAAGGGTTACGGTTTAGAAAGGCGTTCTACTATCTGTTTAAAGGCAACTTTGTTTGAGATTTGTTCTTGTTTTGAAGGCACTCGTGTTAAAAACATATTGCAACACTATTTGGCGGGTGCCATTTGTATTTACTAATATTATGACTGAATACCGTCACGCGCGTTGCTGAACAATTCAAACCCGAACAGTATATTCTCAAAATTATGTAACTACCGTTTGCCTAGGCTTCGAATTAGCTTCACCGCGCCGTTCATCTGTAGTGGATAAATGCTATAATTACATATTTTGAGAGAAGCAACGTCATCAGAAATGGGCAGCGCTTGACAGCCAACATGCCCGTACATTCGGTCAATAGATGTATAGGCTAGAAGAGCGAATAGACCTGCACGTTTAGCAACTTCTACAGTTGAAATTTCAAGTTGCTGCTCCCTGTCAGTGTCTAAAATTCGGTGGTATGAACGCAGCAAACCATACATCTTCAATCGTTTCCAACATTTGCTTTGGTCGAATGTTTGCCCAGGTTCTCGCTCGTCCTGTTCAGCTGTGGAATAAAGCGATTATCATCAAAGTCGAAATCGCTCGAAAGCACTGCACGATATCTTCTCTCATTCAACCAGTGCAGACGTCAAACGTAACGCCTGGCTAGTACAAAATTGATGGAAACTCTCGACGCTGATCGTAGTTGTCACAACATCGAACTATCGGCAAACATGGCGTCAGAATCAACCTTCTATTAGACATACGAAGATAACAGAGTACGTTAATTTGGAAAATGCATCGTTTGTTAAAATCTTCCCTTGACCAACAAACAGAGATCAATCCACGAAACGTCGTCAGATTCATTTTATAGTGATCACGTTCGTTACTCCCTTCCTATCCTAACCTAATAAAGTATTTCTGTTGAAATAGTCAGTTTAACGCTTACATTATTCTCGCATGCAATCGTCCAGTTGTGTAATGCACACAAATAGGAAAATGGCACAAAGTTCATAACATATGAAATCGATGGCACGCCATACAGGCCGATCTTGAGTGAACAATCTGCCGCCTAAATAGGTAGTAATTTCTTGATTTGCTTTGAATAAAATGGACATGTTCCCACTGGTGGCCAACTCATATTCATTTCTAGCTTTTCCGCTATAGATAGTTGGTTTCCAATGGTTACTTGCTGTTTCTATCTACAAACATATAGCAGTAATTGAACCTACTGTGTTTTGTAGAGTATGAAGCGTTCGAACGGTCTAGATGCTGGTGTGCGCAGCGAAAGTTCATGGAGTATTTTCGTACGTGTCGCTAATGTATAGATTTATTGGGACAGAATTTCCCATTGGACGTAGATGCTCACAAATTACCTGTTACGTAAAAATGAGTAAATGTTATAAGGGCCACTACGGCTATGTCAGTGCGTTAAGGGGTGCTCATTTCTGTGAAAAGAAGTACTAGTTATCAATTTTTTTGCAAGCAGATTATTTATCACATGTAAATGCTCGATAGCGTGCGTGTGTGCGTGCGTGCGTGCGTGCGTGCGTGCGTGCGTGCGTGCCTGCTTGCTAGCGTTAATCATCGCCGTAACCCTCGTGTACGGACAGAATTATATGTTCACTGCCAAGTACGGGGACGAACAAAGGAATCGCGTACGGCGTATTCAACGTTCGAAGGTTATTGTACTTTACATCGACTTCCGTACGTCCAAATCCAACCATTTTGTGTACGTACAGCTCCGGTGCGTATGCTCACATCAGCCCTGAATACAAATTAGAATCACTGCAGAAAGTATACACACGATACGATAACTCTATTTTATGTTGCAATGATTGCATGCCTAGTTTGCCTATCACCTGCGAGCTGTTAGCGACTGAGTAGTTGAGTAGAAGCGAAAAAAGAAGCCGATTTTTTGTTCTGCTATTAAATGATCAAGTTATGATATTCCTGAAGAACGATACTAAATGAAAGTTTTCATTCAAAATAGGATGCTTACTTAGGAAGGTTATCTCACAGGATCTTCAACGGCATAGCATATTAACGAAGACTTTAAGAGATAATCGGTTTGTATAGGTACATTGATTCGTTGCTAATAGATCACTGTCACAAAAAGTGCATATAATTGATGCTCTAAAATATGTTCTTATTGTATATATATATATATATATATACCAGCTATGTTCATTGCGGATATTGGGCGAAAATTAAGTCTGAGCAGCTAATGTCATCCAGTAACTTCGGTATCAGTTGCAATTAAGGTTTTCTCAATCAGACGAAGTTTCGAATGAGCGACTTCAAACGGGCCGACTAATTCACAGCATTCAATAATAATCAAAAGCGTCTTAAATTTTATTTTTCCCCTTGCTGCGTAACGCCAATAAAAATAATATACCTATCAGCGACTTGGTGAGTCTGCTTCTAACTATTAATCGTTCCCCTAAACACATGCCACTAGCTTGGTCACAACTTATCAGAACTTACATCCATCGATGGGTTCAACTTGTTCATAGGTAATTTTTTTCGCAAGGATGTAGATAATGTGGAAACAACAGACGAATCTAATTACATGTTTTTGCCTATCAAGGTTGAATAGTGGTAGCTTTTCTAAAGTCCATTGTCCATGCTTATGAAACGAACTACTCATTTTTCAAATGTTTTTGTGGCCCCCAAATAGTTGAATTTTAGCTGTTTGTTAGATTCATGTCATATTTGAATTTTGAGTGAACAGTCATCGCTTGTAGCGATACTGCTACAAAGGTTTTAACCGATAGGAAATGTTGACTTTGCCAGGCCTAAGCTCATCTATTATACAGAACGTTTGCTCGGCGGCCACTGACAGCCGCAGACTTCATAAACGATTTCGCACACTACATAAGAAGCAAACTTTTGAAGTTCAACAAACACTTCATGCGTATGCATTATCTTATTGACAGCCCTAGGGCATGTGTGCCCCAAGTATCCGTACCATATCATTACTGAACTGTTTTACAGTTGTTCGC